CCCCAAAACCCCAAAACCCCAAAACCCCAAAACCCCAAAACCCCAAAACCCCATCTCTGGAAGATTAGTTGATTTTGAAACTAATTACATTATTCCTCTTCCTTGCCTTCCTCTGCTGAGATAGTCAAATCGTAGTCTTCTCCGAAGATTCTTTTGTAAATGCTCAGCACGTCGTCACTAGCTGACTCAAAGTGAGAGGTTGGATCGTAACTGGTAGTAATGAACAGATTGTTTTCAGTTCCATCGTGAGCTGGGGCATAAAGATCCTGAATAGTAGTGAACTGCTCAAGAACGTCTCCTAACAAAGCCAGAGCTGGCTCAATTTCAGACTCTGGGTCGTCAGTCTCAACAATTGTGCTGACCATGGCAACATAGAGCCCTTGTGCACAAACTGCATGACCTCCAGAAACCATGTTGATGAAAATATCTGAGCCTCTTTTCACCTGCTTCTGAGGAATGATAATCTGGGTAGAAGTTGAGTCTTTAGTATTTGGAATTGGATGGTCTAAAATACAGATGCTTCTAATCACTCTTCCGACCGAAGTAATGTTTCCGGTAGTGTCTCTAACATAGGATGGATCACAGATTACAATCGGAGCTTTGGCTTCTTCATCTCCTGATTTCACTCCGACCACTTTTCCATCAGAGCCGAAAAGTACTTCATCGATTGGCTTGTTGAGCATGTAGGTTCCTCCGTGAATGGCACAAAATCTTGAGAAGCCTTCTGGGATTCCACCGAGCCCATAGATGGGATACAAGAATGGGTGTTCTCCATATCTACCAATAGAATCAATATACAACTTGATCTTCTGAATTGTCAAGTATGCTGGTTCATCAAGGTAATTGTCGTTAATATGCATGGCAACTGCATGGCCAATGAAATCGATGGTATTAGCTTCTAGCTTGAACTTTTTGAACACATCTGCCATTGGCTGGGCCTTAATGTCAATCTTTCCCCATGTGTCTGGGTTATCCTCTTCAATGTCTTGAACATACACGAAGAAATTTTTACATCTCTTCTTCTCCCAAAGCCCCATCAAGCTCGATTTCAGAGCTTCAGAGTCGTTTCCTGGGACTTTGAAAATTTTTCCTCCACCTGATGAGAAGAATCCTCCTTTAGAATACTGGTAAACATAAGTTCCTTCAACTGTTTTCCATTCGAGATACTTGTCAACAGTAGTTTTGAGAAGCATCTTGACCAGTTTTCCGTTGGCCATGACGAATTTAGGGATCATGTCAACATTCCAGTCCCTATTGTGTCCAAATTCAGCAGGAGGATCTTGGCCTGGCCGGAATTTTTCCCAAAGATTGGTCAAGTTCAGACTGGCGCAGTCTGCACCGTAGTATGAATTCCTGTCAAGGTGGAGAACCTTCTTGCCTTTCTGAGCAAGAAGTCCTGAGATGATACATTCCTTTAACCCAGTACCACAGATGATGGCGTCGTATTCTTCGTCCATGTTTTAATTATATAAATGTTCTGAAGAAAAATTCTATAAATCCTAACGAAATTGGGGTTTTGGGGTTTTGGGGTTTTGGGGTTTTGGGGTTTTGGG